TTACGACGATATACTTACGCAAGCTTATTCAAGATTGTGTCTCATGAACTCACACCTCCTCGCTATTAATGGAGCGGTAAAAACAATACAAAATAATACAGAAAATTAATTATATGATATATGATATACATAGGACGATTATTTGAAAAAGTATGACTACGACTCAACAAAAATCCGAATCAACATTTATTACCGATGATTTACCGAAGTACAATCTGTAGTGTTCCTTGATGACTATCTTGTAAACAAGAAAACAAAAAACAGTGAAGTTAAACAAAGAAAATATGTAAACGGCTAAAACGTGCGATGAATAATTAGAAAGTTATATGTAAGTTTCTTATAGTAATCTTTTTCCATCTAAAAATACACTCATATATATATATATATATATATATATATATATATATATATATATATATACACGTATGTATATATACGTATGTATATGTATGTATATGTATGTACGTAAGTATGTGTTATATATGAGATGGTGATTGTGAAAGTATTATATTATTAATTATCTCTTAGAATGATTTTTTTTTACTTTAGTGTATTTAATAAAAAAAAAAATTCCTAAAATTAATCTTTTATGTAATTCTAAAATTGTCATATATTATATTATTTAAATTATTTTCATAATTACCGACTCATATATATAAATATGTTCTAATGAAATATATATATAAAATATATATATTTTGTTTGGAAACAACAGCAACAACTACACAATAAGAATAATAACAACACTTTTCTCTGATGAAAAAAATTCCGTCGAATTTTATATCGGCTTTTAAAATAATACGAGGTGCACAAAGTTAGTGCTAATTTTCTTTTTGCACCAGATTATATTGTACAGATAGACTGAAAGAGAGAGAAAGAGAAAGAGTGTACGTATGAGAGAGTAAAAAAGAGCATATGAGCGATGCGTGCACTTATGTGTGTGTGTGTGTGTGTGCGCGTGATTTATTAAGATAGAATTATATATATATATATATATATAGAAATAATTATATGTCAGGTTGATGATAATTATCCATAGAACATAAATATCCACACACAGTTTGTATAAAAGAGACAAGATTTACATGCAACATTGAAGATAAGCATGTATCTTTACTCTGCCTTCTACGAAATAGCTATTAATCGAGATATTATGGTTTCATATTACCTCCCTTAGACCTCCAACCAACATCCTTCTAAACCCCTCAACCCTTAGTCACTTAGTTCTTTTTTTGTTTTTTATTTTTTTCTTTAACCTTTTGTTTTTGTAAAATTTTATTTCTTGTGAATTTTCCAACTTATATTACGCGACGTCTTATTTATTTTTCTTAGATACTTAATTACGATACTTGGTTACTTAGTTAACTGTTATTATTATTATTGTGTATGTTTTTTTATTTTGCAGAAAAAATTAAGTTTCGAAACATCTAAAGATACGAATGTTGACTTATAATGTTAATTATAAATGTATATAAATTTTGCTGTCTGGAATTTATGAATTATTATAAAATAACTCTTCTTTACATTTTTCTTTTTTTTTTAGTTATTAATATTAATTAAGAACATTTATTTACTTTAATGACAAATAATTCTTCGATCGTTCGTGCGTGTACATTTAAAGAGTATGACTCATCATCATCATTATCATCAGTATCTCTTGTTTTCTAATCATATTCTTATATAGTTTGGTTATATTCGTAAACGGAATGCAGTTTACAATGTATAAATAAAAGAAGAAAAAAAAGAACAGAAAAGAAAGAAAAAAATGAAAATATATTATATAAAATAAAAACTAGAGAAATACTTTTATCTTAGATTGTAAGTACTCGCGTAAATGCGTCCGATGGGAATCGATGCATAAAACTTTGTACAATGACGTAATTGTTAAGGAAAAGAAAAAAAAGGTATCAACTACAACTACAACTACAACAACTGGAATTATTACAACTAAAATTACTACACTACAACTATTATAATTATAACGATGGGAAAAATAGAAAATAGATTTTAAATTTCAGTTTTCACCTGGACTTACTAACTCTCAAGAGTGTCACTTATTATTATTATTATTATTATTATTATTATTATTATTATTATTATTAATATTATTATTATTACTATTGTTAGTGTAAGTCGATTAGTATAGCGGCGCTAAAAACAGTGTGTTTTAAATATCTATATATGAAGCATAAGTAAATCGTTGACGACGTTATACGAATGATACAAAAAAGATATAATTATATAAAAGATATAATTTATGTTCGATACAATTTTCCAATGAAATATATATAAAAGAGAAAAAGAGAGGATAGAGGTAGATAAATAGATAGATAGATATATAGATCTTCGTTCGTCGTCTACGATCAACGTATGCTGCGATTCATTTAAAACAGGCTGTGAAATAATGAATACAAATAAATAAAATAAAAAGAAAAATGAAGAGGAATACTCGAAACATTTGCGTACATATATATTTTTGTACAGATACGAGAGATTTAGCCTAAACGATGATCTATTTGTATAAATCTACATAGATCATCGTGGGAAATAATGTTGGATTTTAAGCACTGTGGATTTCTAACTATAGCGATTTATATTATTATGAATGAAATCGGTGTTTAAAATTTTAAATTACATTTGATGATCTATGCAAAATTTCGTATTAATACACGTTAAGTATTAAGTGTATTATATATATTTTAATTGTATTTTTTATTTTTTGGTTTTTGTATATAAACGAGGCAAATGTTTGTGCCTTTTCAAAAAAATTAGTAGAAATGATCTAATAATTCAATCGAAGTCGAACTTTGTCGACACGCGCACAAAACCGATTTTTATTCTAACTCGAAAGTTTAGAGATGTTAGACGATTGATGAAGATATTAATTAGAATCATTTATTTTATTTTATTTTTTTTAATTATAATTCTTTATAACATTCTTATTATCAGGGATATCTTTTTAGTTGAAAATCATTCATGTTTCTATTAATTGTTATTAGAAGTATTATTATTTGCATTAATCATGTTTTTTTCCTCAGAAAATTTCCCATAAAGCATGAACTAATCGTAGACACGACTACTAATAAATTAATACATACATATTTATGAGACGATAAATAATTGTAAGTTAATTGTTAGGTAGGTCGTTTAAAGATATCATTTATTTATTAAGTATTATATCGCATTGATTTTTCTGACGAAAAATGAAGAAGAATAATTAATAGAAAAAGAAAACATAAACATATATGTATGAAGAAATGCATTAAAGTAAATGTGTGCACGTTCGTACCAAAGAATACACATTTCTATTACTTTCATGTTTCCTCATAGAAATATTGCGATAATGATTTAAAAATAAATATTTAAATATTATTCAGAAAGAGAGAGAAAGAGAAAATTTTTATAGTCAATAATCATTTTATTTGTTATTACCAATAATATCGTTTTTTTTTTGTTTTTTTTTTTTAATCATTAATTGTTCATTTCAAAAGAAAAATCATTCAAGAAAAATAATTCATAAAAATATTGAAAATTGTCTGTGGAATTTGAAATGGATTTAAAAAAAAAATATTTTTTTTTTATTTTTGGAAAAAATGAAACATCACACAAAAATTTTGAAGGAAGTTCAATGACCCCCGAAGATCGAAGTGGAATTTCCAAAAAAAAAGAAACGTAAGTCTTTGAGATAATATAAATAAGATACTATAATCTTTATGATACTAATATATATATGAATATATAAGTATATAACAATTTTTGCATTTTAAACGCATCAACACAAAATTACAAATGCGTAAAACAACGTGGTGGTAGAATCCAGTTTTGATGTAAATTATTGAAGCAGAGGTCAACGACCCTTGAAGATTGAGACCTGGAATTTTTATAAAACTCGCCTCTCAAATTCTTTGAGAATATTTTTTCTACGATATATATATATATATATTTATTTATTTATTTATTTATGTGTATAGAAAATTGTTAGTTATGGAAAACAAAGCGTTAGAATTGAGTTTTGATGCGTAAATAATTTTCATTTTACGATATAAATTGAGTGACGCATATCAGAGTGTAAATGAATAGGAATTGAATCTCGCGACTGAGTCAGCTTCGGATTTTTTCTGATTTACATTTGTAGCTAGTGCATGCATGCATATATATACACACATGGATTTATGTACGACATTTGTCGTTGCTTCGTAATAGAAAAATGAATCATCCTTGTGGGGATTTCGTTTGAAGCGAGATCTTCGAATCATCGTTCGCAATGAGTCGCAATCGTTTTTTTACAATGCAATTTGCATTTATAACTAATTGATTAACACATTTCTTTGTCATATCGGTCGAATGTTTTTTCATCCTACAAACATATTATCTTTAATACTTACCGAAAAAATCCATATTTTTAAATGAAAAAGAATAATAGTAGAAGTCTTTCAGTTAAGTCTTTCATTTTGGAAGGTCGTTGACCCACTTTATGGCGGATTTGTAACAAATAACTTCGCTCAATCGTGAGTCAAAGAAAAGAATTGTAGAAAAACGTGTGACACGTTTATAAAGACATTCCTTTCTTTCTTCTCAACGATTCTGACATCTTTTTTCTCTCATTTCAAATCAACTCAACAAGAAGATCTGTATAAACAATCGTAGGAACGTTCCGATTTTCAAATCGAAATTTTTTTCATTTAGGCGGGAAATTTGAACGAAGTATAAGGAACGAATTGAAAAAGAACTAAAAAGTAAAAAGATCAATAGATTTATTTGGACCTTGTCAGGAACTGTTAGCATTTGGAGATAGTAACAAAAGTTTGGAAGGTGATAGAGGAAACGTCTGGCACAAGTTGGAATAGAATTTTTCTGATGGTTATTTGATATGTGAAAAATGGCCCTGGGGGCCATTCGGGAAGGACTTCGGAAGTATTCGGTAATTTTCGAGGGCGTTCGGATGAGTGGCGCGCGCCGGTCATCGCAACGGCGGCGGCAGCGGCATTCTCAGTCTTCGTCGCGACTCCGTTTCGGTAGGTTTAGTTTCAAGGTCCTTTTGTTTATATTTCGATTATACACATATATAAAATTGTATGTGTTGTATCACAATTAAAGGCGTTAGATCCTTCGTATAATTATTAACGTGAAAGGATACATAGTCGTGTCATTCTCGTTACTATTGCCAGACACGACGAGCAGATATATTATAAAAAAAGGTAGAAGAGAGAAAGTGGAAGGAAGAAGAGGGATACATATATCGAACTAATAGAGAAGAGAAAGGAAAGGCGGAAGGATTATACATATATTCGGGCAACATGGCCACCGCGATCGACGACCGACAGGAACTCCTTGAACAATTTCAAGCTGTAAGTCATTCATTGTTAACATTTACTTGTCTCTTTTTTTCCTTTCTTTTCCTTTATTCTATGTTACGATTTTTATTTTTTGTATATTTTCAACATAGGATAAGGTATTTACATAGTTACATTAATATACAAAGTCAACGGGACGGCGTGGCTCGGCGGTGTTTTATCGATCGCCGGCTTTATCAGCGTGTTCTTATGAAAACCCACCCTCGTGGAACTACCACGTTGGGTGTCACACCCGCCCCAATGTCTTCTTTTTTTATTCCTTTTTTTTGGTATCTTACATACTTCCGTTTAAAATTTTTAATCAAATAGAATTACTGTGCGCCCTATGTAATCTATTTGTTATTCTTTTTTTTTTCTTTCTTTTAATTATTATCGTTAATATATTAATTTTATATTTAACATTTTCATCTATAAATTATTGTAATTATTGTTATTTTAAATTACGTTATAGCGAGTTATGTTTGATTTAATTTCATAAAAAATTTCGAATGTAATATTTATTTACGGCTATGCACATGCATTTGATTCTCGAAGGAAGGACGATAAGTAATTCGATACCGTGTTAGTAGCATATGTTGGCAGTTAAAAATATATCGCTAAGGCGATACAATATTATAAGTGCCTTTTCGTCAAACCATATCTTATATTCGTATCCTTGGAATTACCGATACAGGGAGAGTGAGTGGACAACTTCAAACGTTTCCTTTCTATATGCGTATATACATATGACGCTTGATTCTTGTAGTAGAGAATTATGCAGTAGTCGGATACCAAAGAAGTTTCTTATGTCCAATAGAATATGTGTGCAACGAAGATTCGATCTATCGATCTCATCCATTTTTAAATAATATTATTTTTAAATGTATTTACAAATTTCATTTATATCAGGATGAGTCTCTTTAATGACAAAACATTCAAATATAAAATATCGATTTATTTATGCACCTGTACTAGTCACGTTTGATGTTACGTTTAAATATCATTCCGTAGTTTTAATTTATTTTTATTGTTAACGTCGCATATACCGTTATACATATTTTCTTTCGAGATCACCGATCATGAATATTTGATCGATCGATCAATCGTTTCTCTTCTCTTCTCTTCTCTTTCTTTCTTTCTTTTTCTTCCTTTGTTTATTAAATACGTTCGATAAAATATAATGCAATCATTTTAATTAGAGCTAAAGTACTTCGTTTATTCGAGCTACGTGCTGTTTTCTCGATTAAGTGTTTCTATTGTTTGTTCTATATAATATGCATGGACGATTTTTTATTAGTGTATATGGGTGTGTGAGTTTCTGTACGTGTTTAATTAAGTATTTATAATCTGCATAAGTAGAGAAAATTATTTCCGATTTTATCGTTGATATGGTTTGACATTCGTGTTTTTAGCTTCAATAATTTTACTCCCCTTTAGTTTCATTACGAACGAGTATTAATGCATTGTTTTTCTATTATAACTATTATTCAATACGATAAAAGTTTTAATGTTTATTCTAATAGTAGCTAAAAAATAAATTTGTTATTTTATTCGTTCGTTGTTCAATGTAAGAGATAAATTGAACAATGAAGATAGTTTTTACTCAATGATACTTTAGTTTACGATTCGAGAATCCCATCTAAAACAATGACCTTGCGCAAGAGTATGTACTTAGAAGGGAGATGACGAAATTACTCCCTTCCGCCGGCATTGTCGAGAAAGTCTTCTCAATTATCTTATTGATCGTGTTACCGGTGTGAACGCAACCCCTTCCGACATCCGTCAAATGTTAGACTTGGGACGTAATAGTAAAAAATCTTTTATGCTACAGGGTTGTTCGCAAGTTTTAACATAAATTTTTTAAATCAATTACCTTTGCATTTTTTTTTTTTAATATATTTTTCTTTTTCCTATACTATTATGCAGATGCCTAAAAATTGTCGATAAGAAATAATATCGATCTTTGAAATGATTTATGAACCTTTAAACAAGCCCGAGTAGAAAATATTTCTGACATAAGTTAACTCTTAAAGGGAAGTTATTTCGTGTAAACACTATGGTACAGGAATGATCCTTTTCCCTGTTTCTTCTTATAGGTACTTACTACTAACTCATCGTTATAATGCTCGTTCATGCGAATCTCTTGGTAAAAGAACAGAAAACAACAAGGATTATATATACTCGACGTTAGTATAACTTCAGTTTTAGATTTTCTTTTATACGCTTTGAATAGGGTGAAGTTATTTTTAGTGGACTCTTTAAAACGTGCCATGGGACCCCCTAAGCGTTTGAACTTCGCGTTGGCACGTGCCATTCTTTTATTTCTTCGAAATCGTACCGTTGGTCGGTCGTTCATCTCGAAGTTGGGGGCACGAGAGTATTTATGCATTTTCATTGTGTGTTATGTTTAACCATAATCCGTCAAAAGTCTATTCTCAATAAAATTTTCATCTGACAAAGCAAGATAGGAAACATGTTAAATGTTATTTGTTTTTTATTTTTTTTTTATTTTTCAGTTGTAAACATAGGAAGTTTATACATTTTATTTATTATTCTTCCAAGAGGAAAAGATTTTACGTTACAAGCAGTTTGTTCTTAATTCACCGTGAGATATCGAACAGAACTATTTTCATAGCCTTACGAGCGTGAAATTAATACAGCTAATAATAAGAAACGTTTTTTATAATAGAAAATAGAGGATCATTTTGTGGCCGGTAGTATTTTAAAATAATATTATGGAATGATTTATTTTAGATAATAAAATAAAAAACAAAGGAAGCATTACTATCATTATTATATTATTATTGTATTTTTTCTTTTTATTATATTATTTATAAAGATACTCAAAACAAAAACAAATTTTTAAGAATAATTTTTGTAGAAGCTTTCTAAAAAAAAATAAATAAAAAAAAAGGAAAGCGATACCGTAACAACATACTGTTCTTCATTGCGCGTACGTGTTGTGACACATTTATTATGCAATTGTAGGTACGTTACTGGAATAGAAAATTGAGTACGTGATCGACCACGAAAAATAATATGCTTACGCAAATTTTCTCTTCATCTACATAATAATCTAGATATTTTTTGTTTAACTGGATCAGAGGGTTCGATTATTATCCTCTTTTAAATTTTTTTCTTTAACTTCCTTGTGTTAATGTATTACGAACAAATTTTTCTAGAGAAGGAAGTTCAGTCTCTTTCTCATACCGACAATACCTACTTTCCTTTATCTCATTCTCACGATACTATATAAACAGATATATACAGCTTTATGATTAAGACTTAGGCTTATGCAAGTACGTATGCACATACACTGTACTACGTTTTGTCGGTTTGTTGCTGCTTCCCACGCTTGAAATTCTTATTACGTTCCTGTACTTGTAATTAATTCTTCCTATCTACGTTCTTTATGTACGTGTATGTTTTAATTGATTTTTTTTCTCTTTTTTTTTTTTTGTTTCTCTTAATTGAGAATATCTTACGTAGTGAGAGACCTTAAGTTTCTGGATGATTTAAAAAAATCAATTAATACTTTTGAGACTTGTTAAAACATTTAATCAGACTTATTTAATAATTGACTAAAAATAATTGATTTGAAAAATTATTCGAGAATTTTTGATTGATTTTGTAAATTAGAATGGTAACAGGAAATGCGTTATATCGAACTGGCCAACCGATAATATTTTTGTTCTACGAAATCAGCCTACCGAGACTATCTTTTCCTTTTTCTTCTTTTTCTTCTTCTTCTTCTTCTTCTTTGAAATCTTTGACCGAATAAAATTTCAACGAGAGCAGCGAATGGATTTAAGTACTGAAAATCCTCATGCTCGATGGATCTCCTGTAGAAATATATAAGGTATCATCAGATTGATGAGTCAGAACGGATATGTCTTCTTATGGTATCATGCTTGATAATTTTGCCTCGAGTTACACATTCATTACTCTTGTCCCTTACATTAGATTATTTTGATACATGCCGGTTATGTTCTCTCAGGCCATATTTTTTGATATATTAAATTTCACTCATGTAACGCATATTCAATTATTTTTTCAAAAATATTTAAAAAGGGTTGCAATGTGAAACTGTTACAATGTTCAATTAGTTCTGATGTAATAGTTACTTTTGAACTTTTTAATCTTTTTATTCTAAACCAATAATTATAAATTTAATAATATAAATCTATAATCTAAAATATATAATTATAATTATATATAAAATATAATTATAATTATAATAGTTAATTATATATAATTATAAAAGTTGACAATTTCATTGGAAAGTCCTGATTATAGAATTTATCTGCATTCTCTCAAAGTATGATAATTATGTGATATGAAATGAATAAAATGAAATAGGACAAAAATAGAGAGCTATTGTATTTCATAGGAATTTCCTCGTTTACGTTTACGACGTTTCAAAAAACTATATTTCCTCGTGATAATTATTAGAATTTTAAAAGAGTTTTTCAGCAGGGAAAGTTGGTAGTTAAAACCAAGTTGGAAATTCAAATGTCGGCTAAATAATGTAATACTATTTAAATCTTGAATTTCTTACACTTTTTTCTTTCTCGCGTATAAATTTTTTTCAAGCATTAAATTCTATGGAAAATTATCATGCAATTATTTCCTATTGTTTATTTCTAGCACGTAACTATAACCATGCTCGTTCTTTGCAACGACATAATTATCGGGAGAATGAGTTTCTCTTACTTCTCTCTTTATGTGTTTGTGTGTATGTTTATGCGTGAAGGAAGAATACTTAAAAATTTTTTACATTTTATATGGCGCCTATATTATACACCAATTCTAAAAGGGAGCGTGAAAATATTTAACTCTTTACAATTTTTATATCGAGTGTGACTCGATATTATAGAATGCTATTTTTTTAAATAATTTACAATATTTAAATCTAATTTTTTTTCCCAATATTTTGTAATACATAAAAAAAAAGATGAAATTGTTTAATTGTTGTTGTAATTATTACTATAATAGGAACAACACAGTTATTTATA